TCTGTCATACAACAGCTTATCATAGAATTGTGGCTTTATGAACACTGTCTAAATGACACAAATTGAAGGCCCATTGTCTGGACCAGACCTGCACCATGCACCAGGAGTAAAAGCACAATCGATTAGGACCAGTATTTGTTCTTTTCTGAGCAAATTTTCTGAAGAGGGTAGATAAATGACAAGGAGAGAATCAGTGGTTAAAAAAAAGTTATGATTGGCAAAGCTTATATTCACCTAGGAAAAGATATTTGGGGGATATGTTCATTGATTCTTAAGCAAGAGAATCCAGTGTCTAAGGAAAAAAGATCCTGATTTGACTTTTGCTTCTTGATTTCCTTACACAGGTGCTGACTCCAGCACAGATCAAATCAATTTGCCAAGCAATTCTTGACTCCAGAAAGCAATATGCCATGAAAAGGAAGAAACCATTCCCTCTGATGTGTTCTTACTATGGATCTGAATACTTGGGTGAGTCAAGGTGCTGGCAAAAGATGGAGTCTCTAATATCAGCATTGACTAAATACTGGAAGATCTGTTTTTGAGATAGCTCATCATTACTCATTTAAGTAGAAGTATATTAAAATGTCATTAAAAACAAATAGTGATCAATTTAATATTTGTTTCCACAGTCTACCTGATGCAAACATAGCTATTTTAACAACTGCTTTCCTTATTCTAGATTGTGAGTTCATTGGCCTAAGTTTGCTGAGTTTGTGAATAGTTCACACACCTATTGCAAATAGTGCCTCTGCACAGGGAAATAGGATTCAGCCATTAACATTCTCAAGTTTTAATATTAGTTGATTAATAAAAGACTGAAAAACAATGGTGACTTTTGAGCTATGGGGCATGTAACTGAAAATTAGTTACTCCTGAGCATGACTTGGAAGGCTCTTTGTAGACCACCTGTCTACTTCTCCAAACTCAGACTTTATCTCTCCCCTTTGCTGGTTCTGTCCAGCATAATCTACTATAAGCAAAATGTTCTCATGTCTTAACATTTGTGCCTGCTTCTTTTGCCTAGAATGTCTGACTTCCTCTAACGCCTTCATCTATTTGTAATACTTATACCCAGACTTCAAGACTCTACTCAAACATCATTAGATCTGTTGAGAAACTTTGTGCTTCAGGGAAATGGGTTTATTGAACCCTCTCTAGAGAAATGTTCACCAGTTCAGGTTTTACTCTGAAACAAAATTGGCTCGTATCACATTACCCTGCCACATTTCTATTGGAGCTCTTATCACATTAGACTGTATAATTAGTGGCTTACCTGTCCAACTGCCTTAATGGGCTCTGTGCACCTACAGGATAAGGCCTTTCACTTATCTTTTTGATCTCTGGACCTTTACCAAGAGCTTGTACAAAATGAGGGTACCCAAATGAATGAACAAATGACTGATAAACAATGAGCTTATAGATCAGCAGTTCTCTGGGAATTTTCTAAAAGAATTTTTAAGTTCCTGTCTAACTTTCTTTAGAATCAGACCTTGAGACAAGATGTAAATGATTTAATTGGGAAGTGATCAGAGAAACTGTTGGTAGAAGAATGAGGCAGTAAGACAGGGTAGACAAATAAGTTAAGTGAATATGTAGTAATGAGCAATTGTGGCTAACTGAGGCTCAGTGCCACTGGGGATTCTTAGAGATTTTATAGAACATGCATCAGAATTGTCCCAGCCAAAGCTGGGGTATTCATCCACCAACTCCCTACTTTGATCAATAAAGAAGGGATTTGGTCTGTTTTGTTCACTGATCTATATTCATTCAGCCACTAAACAATATCTGGCACATAGTAGCAATTCAGATAATAATGAGTATGAGACCTGGGCTGCCATGGCAATTAATTATTATGTTTTTAATGAATAATAAATGAATGAATGAATGAATGTTTAAGATACCAAGAACAAATTATTTTCAAGCACTTTAAGAGCATTTTCATAAAAGCTATCAATATGTTAATTACAATTTAAAAAATATTTTCTCTAAAATGGGTTGATTACTAAACTTTTGATTTATTTATTTATTTATTTATTTATTTATTTATTTATTATTTTGTTAATAGTCATCTAAGGATATTTTCCCATTGATTTTTAGAGAGAGTGGAAGGGAGGGAGAGAGACAGAGAGAGAAATATGTATGTGAGAGAGACACATAAATTGGTTGCAGAGCCAGAGATCAAGCCTACAACCAAGGAAAGTGTCCTGGACTGGAATCGGACCCAGGAATCCTCAGTCCTCGGGCAACACTCTATCCACAGTCCAAACCAGGTAAGGCTGAGCTGTTTTTTTAAAGGATAAATAATACATATTTTAGGCTTTTCGGGCCCTATGGTCTCTTTCACAAATACAACTCCGCCATTGTAGCACAAAAGTTGCCATGGAGAATAGATCAATGAATGAGCATGGTGTGTTTCAATAAAACTTTACTTGAGCAATGAAAACTAAAGAGAAAATAAACAAATGGGGCTACATGAAAATAATAAGCTATGCACAGCAAAAGAAACCATGTTTCCCGCATATAATGTGTTAAAATGCAAAAGGTTAAAGACAAAGAGAGACTCTTAAAAAGAAGCAAGAGAAAAGCAGTTAGTTACCTACAAGGGAGCTCTCATAAGAGTGTCAGGTGATTTCTCAACAGAAACTTTTCAGGCTGGAAGAGAGTGGCAAGAAATATTCAAAGTGATGAATAGCAAGAACCTGCAACCAAGATTACTTTATCCAGCAAAGCTATCATTCAGAATAGAAGGTCAGATAAAGAGCTTCAGGGATAAGAAAAAGCTAAAGGAGTTCATCACCACCAAACCAGCATTATATGAAATGCTGAAAGGAATTCTTTAAGAAGAGGAAGAAGAAAAAGGAACTCTCACCATTTACCACGCCATGGATGGAACGATAAATACCACATGAACTCACTCATTTGTGGAATATAAGGAACAACATAAACTGATGAACAAGGACTGATCCAGAGATGGAGAGGCATTGATTGGACTGTCGGGCTTTGGAGGGAGGGTAAGGGAGGGTGGGGGTAAGGGGGAAAGATCAACCAAAGGACTTATATACGAGCATATAGGCCTAACCAATGGACATGGACAACAGGGGGGTGAGGGCATGAGTGGGGGCAATAGGGGGTAACATGGGGATAAGGACACATATGTAATAACTTAATCAATAAAAAAATTAAAAAATTAAAAAATAAAACTTTATTTACAGCTCTAGTCAGTTTGCTCAGTGGTTAGAGCATTGGCCCTTGGACTGAAGAAGGGTCATGGGTTTGATTCTGGTCATGGGCCATACCTTTGTTGCAGACTCGATCCCTGACCTCAGTCCGGGCATGTTTGGAAGGCAGCCTATCGATGTGTCTCTCTCACATCGATGTTTCTCTCTGTCTCTACCCTTCCCTTCTACTCTCTCTAAAATGAAATGGAAAAATATATCTTTGGGTGAATATTAATTTTTAAAAAGTTAAAAAATAACTTTATTTACAAAAACAGGCAGTGAGCCAGATTCGGCCTACAAGCTATAGTTTGCTGAGCCCTGCTTTAACACATGTTTTATCAGAAACCTAGTTTTTTGACAACTCAACTATTATATCACTATGTGTGCTTGGAAGTAATTTGCCATTCTTTTTATTTTTACTACTAGAGGCCTGGTGCACGGATTTGTGCACCGGTGGGGTCCCCTAGGTCTGGCCGGGGATCAGGGCCGATCTTTGGGGCAACTGGTGGGCTGATGGGGGG